CTCTGGCCGCAGTACGCGATAGGCTCCAGCCGCCAATGCCGCGCCAGCGAGCTCGGCAGCAAACCAGACCAGTGCCCAGTGAGGATCCTTGCCGCTGCCGAGTCCCAGAGGAAGGGAGACTGCCGGGTTGAGCGCAGCGCCAGAAATGCGCCTGAGAGAATTGCCACATGTCGGCCAAAGCATGCTACAAGTCTACTTGCACTCTCCTCACTTAGACTTAGACTCTTGGGCTGGGGCCCAACAGCATGGCCACCAGCCAGGACAACAAAGCCGATGGCCAGGCCATAAAACCTGAGAAGCATACACTCGCAGACTCGCAGACAGCAGCAGTTGCGGTTCAGCAGCCGAAGTCATACCATCGGTACAGACTCACCTTCTACTGCCTGCAGTGCCTGCTAAGACGTGGCGAGCACAACCCCCTCCCCCGCACCCCCATGAATCACTTCTCGTCGGAGCTGATTTGGCGTGTTCTTCTTCGCCACAGCGCAGCACAGCACAACGAACACAAGCATGGCCTCAGCCAGAAAAGGCTGCATATGGCTGCAGGATAGGGTGAGCTACTGGCTTCGGGGCTGCATTAAGAAAATGATCTTCGGTCTTAGCGCGGTTCAGACTGTAAAGCACTCATTGTGCAGCACTCGATCCCCATCTTCCTGAGTTCGATGCCGTGTACAGCAGCTCCCCGGCAGCCGCCTGCGGCAAGTCCAACCATGCTTTGCAGCCTTTTTGGGTGGCTGGATATGAGAGGTGGACAAGTCCTGAGCACTGAGCTGCCACAAAACTTGACACGAGGGACTGGTCGGGCGTGCTGCTGTGAGCGATTTGGGGTACAGGTTCATAGCCAGATACCTCTTTCGGACATGCCAGCACGCGCACTTTGGATCAGCAACCTCCTGGCAACATCCGGCAGCCCATCCAGTTCTCACAGAGTGGAATCGATCAACCCGAGCCATGTACTGAGCCATGCGAGCACGTGTACTTGGGTGCTTTCAAAATTGACAGGCATACCCAAGTGTCGAACTGGATGAGGAAGAAACAAAAACGTGTTCGATGCAAAGCGAGCGTTCTTCAGCAGGCTCCGATCGGCGTTCGTTCAGAACTTGCAACTTCTGTTGCCTCCGTCGCCGAATTTCGAGCTCCCCTTCTTCCAAGAAATGAGCGCACGTGTTTGTGCACTTCTTTTGGAGATGTATCGGTCGTAGGAACCAATGCCTCCGAATTTTTTGCTAAATCCCACTGTGCCCTCAGCACATAGTAAAGAACAACTGTGCTGTTGCCACCAGCCCCCACCCCTCCTGCCCACCCCACTGCTATCTCTGCTTGAGGAGGCTGAGGAGGACCATGCAGAACCACATCTACATCTAGCTAACAGAGGAGAGATTGGGCGACTTCAGAGCTTAAGGAAAGGGAGAAACGAAACACCGCCCGGGAGGAGCTCACATCGTCACGCACCTGTGGTACCGAGGCTGGGACATAGCCGGCATTGAAAGGTGGCACGGGTGCCACCACCGCCAGGTGGGGTGCACCTCGACAAAATCGGTTCCCATGTAAAGCGCCTGCTGCACTCTACGATGGACTTGAGCTAGAACACGACATGCTCCTGGAGCAGTGTTTAGGGCTTTAAGGCTGCCAAGTTGCAGACGACCTTGTAGACCGCAGCAGCCGTGAAAGCCCCCATAAACTGGAAGAGCCAGTACGTCACCATCCCACCAAAGGACCTCTCTGATGACGGGACCGGGCGAAAATGCCTGGAGCCTTTACCCTTTCCCCTTGTGCTTGACACTTCGATGTTCTACAGGAACCTGCTCAACCACTGACAGGCATCGAAGTGAGCCAAACACCCGTCGATGGCTGGACCATTGGCCAAGAAGCTTCTTCCCCAGCAAAGTCATTGCGAAGGTCACTGCAGGGTTAAGATGCCTGAACGCCAACAGAAAGACGGCTTGCATATGGATTGGGGCAGGCAGTGAGCCAATGAGGCCGCATTCTCTCCCCTTATGTATGCGAAATTGAATTTCACAAGTTTTTGACGTTGACTTTGACGTGGGTGCCGTCTGGATCTCTGTTGCGGGCACTGCACACCTTTCATCCTCAGGGCGCCGGGGAGGCATGCCATCGCGCACCCGACCCAGCTAGTCTGTCTCAACGTTGGGTTCACACCTGCCCTGAACCCTTACCCGACTTCCTGCTTCCTGGCCAGTTCGGTCCAACACTGCGGGCTTCTACCAAACATGAAACCATTGACCTGAAACGAAGACTACGCAATTAGAACCAGACTTCATGCAACGGAGGGGTGGGTGGGTGTTATATCAAAGCCGTTAATAATTAATAACACCTTTACTGTATTACTGCTCGATCAGGAGCTGCTGAACCCTAAACCCTAAACGGCCGAATCTCCTGCACGAGATACATCTGTCCGTGTCTGAGATTCAAACCCAGACCAACGCAAGCCAGAACACCCAGTCCATACTTGAGACTTCTCTATCATTTTGTCTTGTTTCGTTGCATGAAACCTTTCCCGCACTTGCGTTCTGAAGGGAGAGCTGTTTTGATTGGAGCGGAGGCCCTGTGGCGGAGCCAACCCCTCCTACCCCCATCCTTTTTTCAGAATCGTCCGAGGAGCCTTATGACTTATGCTCCTTCGAGATGCAACGTGGAATATGAATGCAGCCGCGATACCCACCCGAGATCGGACCCGTGGCGTAGATCATCACCATCAGCACCTGGCTTGAAGGTGAAGCATGCGGCAGCCCTCAATCATGGAAGATGAACGGCACGGGCATAACCCGAGGCACCGAGGCAATGGAAGTCGCAGACCATGGAGACGGCGTGGGCGAAGTCACCTTGGGCGTCACGGAAACTCGCAGTTCTGCCTTTCCCTTGCACTACATGCTCGGAACATCTTCGTGTGCCTCGTCTCCAAGGTATGCATCGATGGCTAAGTGGTTCGCATCGTCGCGGTCGTTTGATGTTGCATTTTCGCCAAAGGGTTCTCACTCTCAAAGAAACCCATACTGTCGTTGCCCGTAACCATACAGCAAACCTGGCCTGTTGCGACTGTTCTCGAGGAAATCATGAAGGCATACTTCTTTTTCAGAACTGATGAGACCGGTGACAACGCATCCGACCGTGAATACCAGCGCAAAGGTGCCAAGACCTGTGCCGCTGCTTGCACTCTGATGCACATTCACATCTCATGACTAGCACTACCAACATACGTCTGCTAACGTCTTGAAGGTCTGACAAGTCCCTTGGCCGCAATCCTGCCTGCCGAACTTCTGTGCCAAGTCGATGGCTCTAAAGGCAGTACTTTCTAGACTCCGCCACAAGTTGTAGTGGCCCCAGTGGTCCCAGCACCTAGTAGCCTGCTGCCCTTGCCCGGCTGCCTTCTGCAAAAAGAGGCGCCAACCTTCGCAGTGCTCGCAAACCCGCATGCAAGGCAGAAAGAGCACTGAATTGCTGGAAGTCTTGCGGCTGCACCAAGTCGCATCTCATGTGCTCCAAACGTCCGGCTTTTCCAAAAGGCCACGTAGCATCATTAGCCCAGTTCCCACCGGAAAGACCCTCCAAAGTGCGGCTGGAATACCCCTTGAGAAACGCGTTCAAGATGATCTTCATGTACTCGTCGGCGTTGCCTTAAGACATAGAGAACACGTGGTCGCATGGCTCTAGGCTTCATGTTGCCGGTACCTTCCTGAGTACGCACAAATCATGATTTTTGCATGCTGGCTTGGGCCGGCGTGGCCGAGAGGCGCATCACTTCATTCAGGACCTCCTCTGGAGAGAGCCGCGGCCCGTCGCCGGCCTGCCTGGAGGACTTCAGCCGCCCTATTAGCTCCCTGCGCACGATCTGCATCTCCAGGCCTTCCCTGACCTTCAGCAGCCGGGGTCGAGCCGTAGGCAGCATCCGCTTGGCCTGAGGCGTAAGGCGACGAAACCGAGCAAAGCACAGGCACAGAAACCCTCCGAATCGGACCTTCCAGCAGAGCTCGCTCAGGAGCTTCGGCAGATTGTGCAGAGGCCATTGCGAACCTCGAGGAACCTCGGCACCCCAAGCTGTCCCCTCATCATGCTTGGCAAGAAAAACGCCTGTTGCTTGTATCATCAGCCCTATATCATTGAGACAGGCACGACTTGCAAACGGTTAAACGTGCGGTCAGGGAGCTAAGTTTCAGTCAGCTTCGTGGGTTTTCGAAGCGTTGCTTGCGGTTGAAAGCTCAAAGCTGCCGGATGAAACCACGCTGATCAGTGGGTTCGCGGCCCGGCCCGGATGCCAAGAGAAGCCCAATCGCCAGTTGAAACCACGCATGGTCTTGTGCACTGCTGTCTCAAAGCAAGAACTCACTCGACACATGGTGCTGCAGGAGCACACTGAGAATGGTTTAATCCGCCTGCAACCTGCGAGTCTGTTTGGCAGTCCTTTTCCGCAGTGCTGCGAGTTCCCCGAAATGTGCAAGCAGGCCATTGAGGCTTGATTCCATGCCCGGCTTTCTGCAGATTGCAGTGTGGCATATGGCAATCTTGCCTGAGCAGTCGATGCATCGGGAATGTTCAGCGTTTCAATCGGCAATGTCTTCCAAGGTCAAGAAGTTACATCGGAATTTCCTTACCTTCACGCCATGGCTACTGCTTTCAAAAGATCATAAAACTTGTGCACGTGCTGGAGGGCAAAGCCCAATTGGCTTTGCCGCTTACAGCCCCTGCTTTGCAGTACTCCGGAACTGTGCACATCCAGCTAGTACCCTGGTCTGCTTCGCACAACAGCATGCCGAGGCTGTTTCGAGATTATCCGTGTAACAGATGGAAGCTGGCCAGGTCTCATCAAATCGACCGCCCAAGTGGCAGCAGGTGAGATGCAAGCAAGGATCATCAACATCACCTGAGCCCCAATGGATGCAGGGCGGGCTCTGTGGCACGCCAACAAGATTCAAAGGATTGTAGGTAAGCCACCGCCACCAGAAGAACGCTGCATAAGTCTCTATCCTGCTGAGGTCCCAACGCTAGTGATGAGTGTGCTGAGTAAGCCTTGATGAGAGGCATTGGATGCATCCACATCGCGGGCTCACTTCAGAACCGGTCTACGATACTGTATCGAGCAGATGACACAGGAACTCGCACCTGATGCTGCGCTACTTCGTGCAGGAGTTCACTGGGTCCCCAAGCTGTTTGACAGCTGACCAAGAGGTGTAGACAAACAGCACGGAACCCAGGAGAAGCACAGCTCCACCCAGCGCCTGAGCGTGTGCCGAGGTCTGCGATCAAGTGGACTCAATGGTGCCAACTGGCAGGTGCAAGACTACTGCTTGGCAAGGGAAGAACCCTTCCGGCACACCAGTGTTGTGCACATGGAAACACACATGTATCTCAAAAAGCAAGAGCCGGACGCTCTCCACTTTGCCAGGCTTGCAGATCTGGACAAAAGGATTGGGTATGGTGCTCGTGGGATTTCGTCAGCTGCACCGACAGGAAGGGACACAATCTGCACCGCCTTGATGTAGCAAATGATTGGAAAAATGAAAGCCAAAGGCACCTTAGACACTGCCCAGTCTCTCGCCAGAAACTCCCAAACAGAAGGTTCGGAACTACATCTGCACGGCATGTAGGTCCCTGGCACAGCAAAAAGACCCAATCAGTGAGATAAAAGCATCAATTCGATCTTTGCCGAACAGCGAGATGACGGCCTCATCGGCGTGAGTCTTCAGCAGCTTTCAAGACTCATCCATGTCCAAGCATAGAGCAAATCAAGGAATGCAAACACATTCTGTGCCATGGCTATGGTTTCTCCAGCAACTGGCCACATGCAAGGTTGCTTTAGCTTGGTGGCCTTCATACCGCTGCGAAAGTGAACAGCTCAGGAGCAGGCACAAGTACAAATCAAAAGTGTCCTGGCACGAGATCTGCTCTTCTTCGAGTGCACAGCACGCAGTACTTCAGTACTTAGCTTCGGAAATTAGTCCATGAGTGAGAAATTTGCGCACCCAACCCGTGATGGCGCAAACGCTTGAGTTCGCCTACAAGCCCCGTGCCAACTGACCACTGCGGTCATACTTGGGACATGAACAGCCCCAAAACTTAGAGCGAAAAGAGCTTGAAATCAGGTCGATGCCCTTGGCACACGGCTTGCTGTTGAGATAAACCAGGATGCATCTGCTCTTTCGCACAACGCACAATCTACACTGATACCATTGAATAGCGTGCATACGACTCTTCAAGCAGCCTCATGCTGTTGATCTTCAACAGCGTCTGAGGACCTGAACGGAAGTGTCGACATGCATGGACTGCGATGGCACCGCAGCCCAGTTTGCAGCGGCCGCTTCGTCCAAGGCGCCAGGACTTGAGACAGCTCCGAAGAGCAGCGTTTCCAGGAAAGTAGCCGCCTTAGCGGCTAGCGCTACATGAGAAACCGGAACATCGCGGTGAAGCTGGGCCGTCCGACTGGGAAGAGGAAGAGAGGCACGTTGAACCTAAGACTTCGGCTAACACGAGCAGGTGACGCCAGCAGCTGAGAAAATTCCTGGTACTCGCTACTGGAGTAAAGGTGCTGACAAAACACCATCAATGCATGGAACGGCAGTGTGCGCCGTGCTGGAAGGCTGGGGAAAAACTTGGTCTCCCGCAGTGATGCCAGAGCAAAGGCAAAGGGAAGCACATGTCCGACCCTGGTGCCCCTGCGAAAACAGGATCAGCTCAGAAGCACTGCCATGTCTTGCTCACCCATCTTGCAGCTGCTTTCATGCATAGAGAGTTGCGGTTCCCATCAGCATCTTGGGCCCTGACTTCGGCAGGTTCAATGTGATCACGTCCCTGGCAGGGTGCACTGCATGTTGTTGGCTGGCGCGTGTTGGTGCATGAAAGATAGCACCTATGTGTAGGCCTCCAATAAAATGAGGATCTCTTTTATTCCTTTTAGGCCCCCAATGACCCCCCACAAGGAACCCTAATCTCGAGAACTACCCCTATGGCCCATATCCACACCTTAGCTTATGTACCAAACAGATACCATCAACCGATGTCAACACCGCTACACTTCGCAACCGCAGTCAATGCCACGAGAGGCAGTGGGCACCTCGTCTCTTCACCGTAACGGAGGTAGTTCACAGCTCCGAACCTCCATGGACCGACAGTGATAGCACGAGCCGAGATCTTTCCGTCAAACACTTCCAGCGATTTAAGCCCCTGGCACGATGAACAAGACGCAAACGCCTAGTCCGGGCTGCGGACTATGCAGGATCCGAACTGTAGCATGGCTGACAGCCAGTCCAGAAAGAAACGCACAAGGCGAACGACGGCACTGAATTCAGCCAAGCTTCCAAGCAGAGTTGCCACAAGAATGGGAGCAAACCTGTCTTTGGCTCCATAAAGCTGAAAATGTTGCTCGCTGTCCCATTTTCCGCCATGCACTCTCGAGCATGCACAGCCAATCTTGAGTCAGACTGCGCGGACAAACCTCCTCCCCTATACCTCGCAACTTAGGTCTCAGCGTTTCTTTCTGCTCGTGGGCATCATACCTAAATGGAACCACATCTCATCTCGCACTTCGTGGAGCCCCAGCCCTATTCGGGCCGCAGGCATCGGAATGACAAAGTTGATGCACTCAAAGGAAAACACCACGGTGCCAGCGAAAACCATCCAGTTGGGACCTCGCGAGGTTCGTGTGGCTTGCTTCAACGACAGAGCGACGGCGCTCGATGTGAGGGCCCAGCCAACCAGCTGAATGCCGTGGCCAACCTCATCGCCTGTCACAAGCCCGAATCCCGAACCTCTTGCAGCGTCGTGACATTTCTGAGGCCCCAGACCAGCCAAGCCGACGATCGCGTAAGTCAGCCTCGGATCCGACACGATCGCGCTGCCATGGGCCCTCGATCGACGAACCACTGCCTGAAGTGTCTTGAGGTGCGCGCAAGATGGCGAGGGCCAGAAGGACCTAGCACCACCAGCTGCTTCCAAAGTATGCTAGGCCATTCGACGTCGGCAAAACCCTCTGAGGATATATCCGTGGTGTTTGCAATGAGGTTAGATACCTGGCCAGACCAGGTACTTCACTGATCCCGTGCCCTTACTGCGCCAGGACGGGCCTGGAAGTACTTGAGCTGCCGAATCCATGACATGGGGATAACAACAATCAGCTGAAGAAGGATGATGTTTGCTTCGGACCTGAGTCTTTGCTCAGTGTTTTCGAGGTTCTGCGACGGAATACCCATGAAGCGGAGGTGACGGTGACAGCTCTCATCAGCTCTCCAAGCTTGCAACCACAAGGGAGATGACAGTTTGAGCGCCTGCGGAGGCCACGATACGACGATACGAAACCGACCAGAAGTGTGGCAGAGTGCTCTTGCTTTGTCCTTCAGAGCGCCGTGGCAATTGAGCGCCACATAAAGAATCTCAGAACCTGGGACAACGGAAGTGTCTAGAGCCTAGTGCAGCGAGCTAGCACAGCTCATGCAGTCTAATGGTACACCGATGTCATTGATTTCCATCCTCTCAGCTGCCGGCAGACGAAGCCGGTCTGGGAGAGCAGTATGCTCAGATCCACAGCCCAACTCCCCATCGGCCCTATGGCACGCCTTCGCAGCTCGTGAAGAACTCTTCGACAGCAGCAACGACGTCAGGCACCGAGGGATTGCTGAAAGGTCCGGCTGTTCAAAGCTTGGCATCCCATGATATCCCATGGACTGAACGAAATTTGAACCTCACTTTGACATCCTATGTTCCGGTGCCATACAACAGCAACACCTGGACCTGACTCAACGAACTGTGCGCATGCTGAAGTTTGAATGGCCTGGCTATGTCGCCGTAGGTTCCACCACCAAGTGCACGAACACACCTCTGACAAGCAAGGCCGGACTCGGACATAAATACGGAGGTGCTGCCTACTGCTTCTCTAGCAGAGACTCTCCTGTCGAGTGTGCCAATGTTGAGGATCCTGCCTCACGAGGAGAACCATGCCTCAGCTGCAAAGCTGTCCCTGCCAGTCAACGAAGCGCTACTTCATTCTTCGTTTTGCACATATGAGGCCATGGTGTGAGGCACACATGGCTGCATCCGAGGAGCAGTAAATTTCCACACCGCCGATGAAAATCAGCTCCCTGGCGCGGGCTTTCGGAAAGGCTAGTGGCCAATACCGTCCGTGCAACAATACTTGGCCAGACTCACAAAGGAGCCAGAAGGATACCGGTCCGCGAGAAGGCACCCGGGATGATGATCAGAGTACCACCTGGAAAGGACTCTCTGCAGGGTTGGAAAACAGAGGCCTTAGGGGAAGAAGTTCGAGTGACTCAAGGCTCAAGTAGTGACTAGCACGTCACATCACGCCAGCTGCAAGTTTTTGCAATGGCTCTGCACCTCACAGTCAGGGTCTGTGAACAAACGAATTGTCTTTGGCAGGCACTGGGCCAGCGAAAACCATGGATGCACATTTCCTCTACTTGACGAAACTGTTCTTAACTGTTTTCGTGTCATCGGGAAATACTGACTAGCTCCAGGTGTGGAATTTGTCTTGCACTTTGCAAGTAAAGGAGACGTAATGAAGATGTGTCCGCACAATGTCGAAGCCTATGGATCGTGACTGTGCGGATCTTACCGTGCCAGGAGGCGTCATGCCAACTGCAAGCATGGCACATGGCCCCCGAAGAGTTGGGTCCACGATGTCACGTGCCGGAACTACAAGCTCACCGTGGACACATGGAAAACGAGATGAGTAATCAGCAGTCCCTCAGGTGCTGAAAGAGCTTCGAAATAGGTCGACATGGACCGTGAAAATGCTACTCTAAGATGCCTCCGACTCTGCTGCATCGAGCAAGGCTCTGTCTTCGTCACTCGATGAGTTTGTGGCTGTTGCGTTGGCGACAATCTCCTCAGCCTCCATCGTTGGGGGAGCTGGGGCAGAGAACTTCTTCACCAAGACATCCGGCACACCGGACTCGTCTCTGACGACCATGACCTCGTCGTCGAGGTAGGTCACCTTGCATCACACTTGCCAAACCTGCATTTCTACTGGTGCTCACCTGAAAGCAATGCTCTTTGCGACTACCATCTGCACCCTCTGGCTACAGGAGGCACTGCTTGTCCTAGGTCCTAAGTCGTAAGCGCAGCGACGTGGCCAGGATGCTGCGGCGGAGCTCCAACGGAAGTTCTTGGCTTCCGATAGGCTCGGGCAGTTTCACGGAAACGACCTCCTCGCTCATCCGCGCCGAACTCAGGGGCATCAGCTCTGCCTGTGGACCACTCGTGTCGCTCACAACTCCCGAAAGCACAAATAAGCAGCACTGTCGGAGGCAAGGTGAGTCTAGAAGGGCGGTCACCCACTCACCACTTGTCTGGGACTCGGACTCTCTGCAAGATGGTACAGTCCAGCATCCCCACCCCCCACATGCAATGCGTGGTTCAGTGCTTGGGTGTCAGATGGTGTCAGGTCTCTTCTTCTTCCATGCAGCCGAAGGCGAAAACCTCTGTCCTCCCATGCTTGCCACCGGTCTCTGTGGATTTGCTCGCGAACGAGAAAATGGGCAGTCTTTCGCCGTGGATGTCTTTGTCTTTCTTTCGCCAGTGTGGAAGGTAGAGGAGTTCCGAGTTCCTCAAGGCGCCGCCTCAAAATTCTAATAGGCAGCGGGGCTCTGGCTCTCTCTCTCTCTCTCTCTTCCGGGCTTGTTGGGGATCACGACAGCGTCCAGGCCGATCACCCCGTGCGCGCGCGCACACCCGCTTGTCGCGGGAGGTCTGACCCCTACGAGGGATTTTCCCCCGAAGGCTCGGCTGTACGGGCACTGGGGTTCACCACACTGCTTGCCAAGTATACAGCATGAAAGAAACGACGATCAGGCATCAGTGTGGATCCCCCCCTGTGGTTGCTCCCTGGTCTCGGCTACGTGAGCTAGGGGTTACCACTCTGTCCAAACACAACAAGGAAAGTGATGGTATTGTTCACGTGGTCCCCCCTTTTCTGGCAGTTGCTCACAACAAACACAGCTAGTTTCCCCCATTACAGTAGCACAGCAACTGCACGGTCACTATCACTCTGAGGCCCGGGCCGAAGACTAAGACTGCATGACAGTACACTGCTTTACATTTTTTAGGCTCTGCCCACCCCCCCAGTTTAACGGGGTGGCTCTCTCTCTCTCTCTCTCTCTCTCAGGTCTTCCTCGCGCCTTGTAGTTCAGAGTCTCCTTTCGGCCGGCAACCTCAACCTCGGCGGATGCCTCCACGTCTCGGCCACCGGTGATCTGCACCGTCTTGGACCCAAGTTTCACACCTGCTGTCTGACCCCAGAAGCCCTGGGCAAAGGAGGATAAGGCATTCCCAAGAGAGAAGCCTCCGCCGTACAAGAAGAGCGCCAGCTCACGCGTTGGGGAAGACAACAAGCCCGGTGCGTATGAGCCGGTGTACTTCACCACCCAGGTACCGTCCAAGTCCACAGAGTAGACGGGCTCCTCATTGGTGTTTAGCCTCTCCAAGCGGATGATGGCCTCGTCCACTCTGCCTCGCATGGGTTTCCCTTCGGGGCGAAGAACCTCCTCCTCCAAAGAGCTGTCCTCCAGGAGGTCCATCAGGCGCTCCTTGGCATCCTTCAAAGCCGGACTGGTTGCCTCGGTTTCCACCTGCACATCTGTGACGGTAGCACCCCGCGCTGCAAGCCACTGAAGGCGGGGGCCGCTGGCAAAGCCTGCCACAAAGCTCAGCGATGCACCCACAAATCCTGCTGCAATGAGGGCAGACAGTGCGGAGGCTCCGCGGCTTCTCCGATGTGCCACCGCCATGTCACGGATGGAGTCCGACACTGGGGGCTGACAACTCACAACAGGCTGGAGCCAAGTGCAAGAAGGGCGAAGAGCCCTCAATTTGTCAATGAGCTGGCAGGAGCGACTGTAACCAAAACCAGTGCATCATCAGACGACGCCAGAGCTTCCGACCCACGGTGGATTTGAGAATGACGAGCACCTCGACCACTGCAACTGACTGGGATAATTGTGTCTCTAAAGCGACGGAACTCGGGACGTGACTGGACTGGATGAGAGCTAACGATGCCAAGTCCAGACTCTCCCAACAACTGGCGCAGGAAATCACTTGATTTCCTGTGCGCGGCACCGTCGAAAGGTTGGAGGCGCCCACGCTAACGGTCGATGCCGAGGAGGACTCTGCCTGCCCGTCAACCAAGAAGCCGGCCAGCGTGCTTTCGGCTACTTGCTTTGAAGCGCCTGCATCTCCAGATTCTTCGCGAAATAGTGCTGCAACCGCGGGTCAAGCATCCTCAGCCAATTCACATGTTACGACCCACATGAGTGGGCGGGTCTTTCTATGTGCCGCACGACTCGAGCAGCGGTCGCTCCGCCGCAGCATTCGGTGCCCGGCGCCTGGACAGGATGACCAGTTTGCAGCGATTTGAGAGTCACCGATCGCCCTGGTCTCGTGCAGCAGCCTGAGGGCAGCACAAGACATGCTCGCGTCGGAAGCCACCTGGTTGCGCGATGTCCTCAAGCCGTCTTCGTTTACAGCGCTGGATGGCAGCGGCACAGACTGGTTGAGAGCCCCTCTTGTGCTCGAGTGCTCTGGGCATCCGGCGCTGGCCCGGCCAAGTTCCGGAAACAAGGGCTCGACTGGCAAGAAGGACACACACGCCAACATGCTTGTGCAAGGCGTCCATAAGGGTATTCGTCTTATTTCCTTTGCCAGGTCCCTAACTAACTCCACCGTGAAGGAGTAGGTTGACTGGGGAGAGGGGAACCAGTACTAGTCTTTGTGGAGGAAGAGGCCTCAGTAATTCAGGATGACACGGTGGCTACATCCGAACCATGTATAGTGTGAGGAGCGGCAGCAGGGGGCGGGGTGTGACGGCGGGGGAGGGCCATCATTGCTATTTTGGTTTTTGGGGTTAGGAGAGATGACAGGAGTACGAGTGGGTCTTATGTCGGGTGCAGAGGTATATAGGGAGGACGGAGGTGGAGAGGAGTGGAGGGGAACGACTTTTTCTACGATTTTTCTTTCCTGTGGGGAGAACATCATTATTGTTGCGGGCTGGGCGGCACGAAAAGACTGAGGAGTTTTTTGACAGCGACTACCTACGGTGACGCTGCTGCCACTCAATTACGACGACGACAACACGACTACGGGGTAGGACTTGGACTTGCAGGACGACGACGTGCGCGGAGGGTGTGGAGCGGCACTGCTGGGGGCAGGGGGACTTGTTTGGGAAGAAGCCACCATCATTATTCTGGTTGGAGTGCGAGGAGAAATAACAGGAGTACGACCTTGCAGCACGGGGGAACCATGTTGGTGGAGTGGGCCGCGGGGAGCGACTAACAACAATGAAGCGCGGGCGAGCAGTGGGGTTTCAGAGGGGCCACAACAGCAACAACAACAACAACAACCACCACCACGACCACGACCACGACCACGACCACGACCACGACCACATTTCATTCACACGCAGCGGGAGGATACTGTCTGAGGTGAAACTTAACGTCCACGCTTTGCGAGGGGTCGACCAGCTGCTCTGCTTGCTACTTGCGCGGTCACTTCATGACGAGCCGTGCCTTAACACAGCACTCGCACACGCTCCGCCCCTCAAGGCTGCAAGCAATGAAGTCGGAATCGGACGTGTCGTCAGTGACTCGAGCTGCAGACTCTGGCACTAATGAAGTAGTTAACCGGCTGATTTGCAATGTATCGCTGACTGATTGGCGACGTCCATTTTGCACACTGCTGTCTCGCGAGAGTGTCTAGCCTCGCTGTGAAGGCTCGGTACGAACCACTAGCTCTATGTTATAGTAGAGGCGGTGAGGCAATGAAACACTCAGTAAAGGCAGGCCAGGCGCCATTTCCAGCCCGTTGTTGCTATTTGTAGATGGCGGAGCAACTCCTGCCGGACTTGTGCTGGTGACATGAAGCTCTCCTGTCCCTGGATGGGAGATCGTTGAGGTCACAGCCTTTGGCGGTGGTCCCAGGGGAGAAACTCCTCCCGGGACTCCACCTTTCACTGGCACTCCAGGTGCCTTACCTGGTCCCGGTGTCCGATCTGTGCTAGATCCACTTCCTGACAGGTTAACAGGCATCGGAGGCGGCGGGCCCTTAGGCCCAGCTGCTTTGGGGGCTGCTTTAGGGGCTGCTGTGTCTTCGGAGTCGGACTCCCGAATGGAGTCACTGGCTGGCGGCGACCTGGATAGGTGGGGCCGACGTCGCACTGGAGGAGGGGTTCGGGAGGTCGCTCTGTTGCCACTCTTCTTCGGTGTTTCAGGCATGGCTTCTACAGTCGAGACAGCTGGTGAGTTGAGCCTGTACGAGAAGGCAAGTAGAGCTTCCAGAAAACTTTTGGCTAACAACTCACTTGCGGATCCGGGCCCACGACGTCGCACGGAGCTTCACATGCGACCTCGGGGTATACTTGCTGTCTGGTGATGAAATTGAAGTGACCTTCAGCCTCATAACACAGATTTTTGCGTGAGCAGCTGCATTATCAGTGTGGGGAGGGACTCCACCATTAGGTGAGGGTCCTCACGATCAGAGCGGCCTGTTGTCGCCTCCGTACTTAGTACCTGATTTCAGGCTCTGGTAGTACTCTATGACAGAAGGGGGCACTTCAGAAGGGGTGAGAATGACGCCGTTCTTGCTACGGAAAAATTGCACCCCTACCTGCATGGCTCTGCGTGGATCGACCGCCACCAGCATCGACGAGCTATCTCTGAATCCAGAAACACCAGGTCTCCCATAGTCCCGATCCGAGACGAAGTGAACATGCTGTCGTCCCTCTCTGCCACGTCCGCCTTTGCCGCGGCCCTTGGAAATCTTGTTCTGAGGCAGAAGGCCTCGTTGGCGTATGGAGTCATACAAGGACCAGAATGTGCCGTGATACAGCATTCTGGGGAGCATCTCCTCCGTGAGTTCCTCCAACACCTCATTGGAGTCCACATCAGAGCGAGAATGTCCTTGCAGAGCCCTGATGTACTTCTGGCCTTGGCAGTCGCCCAGCTCGTACCGGCCTTTTGCGTTACTCCGAACGACCTCCATGAAGTCACCTGCCGTGGCGTGCTGGGCCTGCACTCTTGGCCATCTCAGGACGTCCTCTAATTTGGCCCAACCAGCTGAAGTGACGCTGATGTAGGGTTTATGTCCGTGCCGGAGCGAAGCTGCTAGAGCCTTCGAGACTTCGAACGAGAAGCTGGTCTCCGGCTTCGTAGAGGCAGTGCAATACTCCCCTAGATCGCCTGGTTGGCCCTCCCAGGCCACTATAGTGGAGCTACGTGGCGTTGTTGAGCTGTGGTCAATCTCTGACGCCATGGTCGGGGGAGAAACTCCACCCTGTGAGCTGGACGCCTGCTCACAAACCGGAAGGGGAGCAACTCCTCCTTCCTTGACTCCACTTGACGAGGCTTCGCCAGGCAGCTCGTATCCCAACGCCAAAAAGGATTCCCGTGCTTGTCTCAGTGGTATCTCCAACAAGCCACTCCACTCTCGGAGGTACTCACCTAAGGTGAGTGTCTCCTTGGTTGATATTTGCAGTAGCAGCGCTCGGATTTTGACTGCATCATAGGAGTATATCAGTTGGTTTGTTTTCTTACCACGTTTTTTTGCGATCCAGAGTGCGCAGCCTCCACCTCAAACATGGGCCGCACGAATATGTGCCGAGGTCCTATCCTCACCAGACAACTGTAACCGGCAGCAAGATGCCTGTTTGACATCCTGTGAAGATACACGCCTGGTCGTGCCTCGAAGCTTCGCGTGCCGGAGAGGTCAGGTGTCGAAGGTAGTAGCCTGCCTGTGGCCAGTATCCCATGCAAACATTCCAGGTGTGTGCCGTGGAACGCAACCTCGCTGTCCCCTGCAGGAAGAATGTTCGGTGAAGAATACTCAAAACGAAACCACCCATTCTCCTCAGCTGTGGGATATCCAAGCTTCGGATGCAGAGGCTCATTGGCAAGTCCCCGGCGAGAGGCCAGGAAGGTCTCCAGGAGAGCATTGGCTACCTCCGGGGAGGGTCGTTCCACCTGATTGAGGCCATCTCGCAGCTGCTGAGTTACTGTCACCATAATTCGGTGATTGTTCAGGTCAGTGATGTTCCCATCACAGTCTGAAATCAGACTGGGAAAGGGGGTATAACCAGCTGACTGAAGAACTTTGATCGCAGCTTCCGTGATGGGGTCCCCCGAGGGAGGATCTCCACTCTTGGCCTTTGCTGCTGGGGGAGTATCTCCACCCTCGCTTTGCCCTGTACTTCTTTTCTTGGAAGGAGGAGGAGGGGGAGTGACTCCACCCTTTCCGCTTCCCAGCTCTTCCTGTCCACCAGTACCTTTAGAGACTCCTTTATATGCAGGATAGCTTTCGCCGTGAGCACGAGCGGAGCGCCTCCACTGGCGCAGGAAATTGCGATACGTGACATGCGGAAGTTGTTCACGTATCCGTCGCTGGCAGAATTCCTCGTACTCCGCTTGAAACGAGGGATCCTGTGTTGACTCAGGTCTGGACATGATGCTGAGTCTTGAGAGAAAGCTGCGGTTGTTGGCTCAAGCTGGCTTCTAAGCAGGCAGCTGGGCCTAGGCCACTGAGCTCCAGACCACCACGAGGAGACCTGCATCACGGATGGTGGATTGCTGTTGGCTCAGTGTAGCTCAGTGCAGGCAGAATTATTGCAGGCAGCGACTCAAAGCTTTTAAAAACCCCTAGGGAGAGACTCCGCCAGCTGTACACCCCTCGTTGGGGGAGAAGCTCCACCAACTAGGGGAGAAGCTCCACCTGTGACTCTTTAGTTCAAAAACCCCTGGGGAGTAACTCCGCCAGCTCTACGCCTAACGAGGGAGAAACTCCTCTATGTTACAGGAGCTCTTGCTTAGGGAGCATCTCCTCTTCTCACTTGGCTCAGGAAGTGGCGGCCATGAGGTGATTGTAAGATACCTCCCACGTCGCCGAGGCCAGGTTAAGTCTGCCGTCTTCAGCAAAAAACTGAGACCTCAACGTCTGCACATCAGCTTGATAGGCCTCTTGGTATTCAGCAGGGAGATATTTGGCGATGTATCCCGTGATATGGGATTCTCGTTCCATTATCTCCAAGTCGTACCGGTGGTAACCGAGGCTTGCTGGGGAAATCAGGTCTCCAGCGTGGATGCGAACCAAAGAGAGGTACTGCATCCCCTGTTCGACCAGGGCTCTTCGTCTTCTGTGCCGGATTTGTCCCCATTCATCGATGCCCGATATGGAGTGGAGGTGTGTGAGCACCTTTCGAATCCCACCTTCCGGGAGTATCTCCACGGCAAGGTTCAGGATCTCATCCTTAGTGATGAGCCCAAGCCCCTTCACTCTCTCTAGCAGCTCTGTGAGCACGGCCCAGGGGAGTATCTCCACACCTTGGGACTTCTGGTGCAAAAAGTGCACCGCTGCTATCGTCGGGAGCAGCATCATGGCCAGTCGAGTTGGCGTCTGATCATACATGGTCGAGGAGTTGAACCACAGTCTAATTGATTAGCTTTTGAGCCTGAGAGCTTCGTCATGGAGGAACATGTGCAGCAATTCAAGCGGTGCCAACATGAGTGCAGTGCTCCGCGGGAGGGCCTCCTCGCCATTCGTCGAAGACGCTTCAATCTCCTCACGAGCATGAGCATGCTAGGGC